AATATAGGTCCACCCACCCTTCACCCTCGCCTTCATCTCGTCCATAAGCATCGCTGAGCTCTCCTTGGCTACCAGGGCCCCTGTTCCCGGTTCCGAGGAAGAGCAGGAGCGGGGGTCTTAGTGTGGACAGTCTGGAAGACAAGGCCCTCTCCCCTCTTCTCCCATGAGGCAGGCCAGTTAGTGATGCTGCCCCCGCCCCCCCATCTCAGCCTGGGTCTGTGCAGCCGGAAGCCACTCTGCCCTCATGAGCTTGGTTCCCAGCCTCCCCCTTTACAACATCTGCACCACCTCACCCACCAGGCACCTTTCTTCCTCCTGCAGGGCGTCTCTGACCCCCCAGTCCACACGGTGCTCTCCATTCTTGAGCCCCACTCTTCCCCCTGTCAAATCCAAGCTCTTCAGTGAGCACCGGCCACTGCACTCTAATCTTGTCCAGCCTGGGTTTCTTGTTTCATTCATTCATTCATTCATTCATTCATGCAGTGAGGGCCATGTGCCTGACTCTGAGCTGGGCACTGATGAGAGGAAGTGGACTTGGCTCTCGGTCTGGGGTGAGGGGTGCATTGCATTTCCCTTAAGTGGTCAGAAAGGCCTGGAGAAATGGCATGTGAACTGAGAAAGGGGGGAGTGTTCCCGGCAGAGAAAGGGCCAGGGAGGAAGCCCTGGGTGGGGGAGGTGGGCTGGATGGTGGCCAGTGTGGCTGAGGTGAGGCAGAGGAATCAGGACACAAGTCCCGGAGGGCAGTAGAAATAGCTGGGAACCCAAAGCACGAGATTCCTTCCTGCAGGGCCCTCTCCGCTCGGGGTGGGGCAGCGGCCCAAGCACATCCTACAGAGACGACGGCACAGGTGGTGGGGGACCAGCCCCAGAGTCTCCACTCAGCTAGCAGTTAGTGGTGACCTTGGGCAGGCCGTTCCCTCTCTCAGTGTTTTCATCTGTGAAATGGGAAGCATGCTCCCTACTTCTTCCAGACACTGGGGAAGGTGGGGTTTGGACATAACAAGGATGGAGCTTCTGGAAGGGCTAACCCTGGGCACCTGGAAGCCCTGATGGTGCAAATAGCTGGGTGTGGGCTGGGTCCAAAGGGAAGGACACGCAAAATGCCCTGGAGGCGAGGGAGAAACCGGGAAGCGGACATGGAGAGAAAGCTGGTTGAGTCTTGTCTCCCTTTCTCCGTTCATTTCCTCACCACTGTCCCCCCTGCTGGCACCAGGGGCTCGCTCCCCACTATCGTTGGTCCCCCAGCCAGGCCAGCCTTCCTTGGCTGGGTCCCAGGCTCGTCACAAGGCCTGTCCTCCAGGAGGGCTCTCGGCAGCTGGCCGGGAGGGACTGGGTCTCATGGAGTTTCCATTCAACGAATGAGGGACTCAAGGCAGCGGGGACTCCAAGGACCATCCGCCCCCACTCCGATGACACGGACTGGCTTTGCCTCTGAAATAACAGAGCCCCGATGGTGCGATTTCAGGCCGTGGGTGAGAAACCTTCTTAGTCATCTCCAGTGCACACACATCAAGGACACTCCCAAGACGGGGGTCAAATGAATCCCGGGAAAAGTCACACAAAAAGAGAGTAAGGCAATAAAAGAGATAAACAGTAATCGCCCTCCTGGTAGACCAAGGAGGCCCTCATTAGGCACCTGCTGTGTGCAAGGGGCGGATGGATGCCGCTCTCTCAGTTCCCAGGAGCGTGTGGCCCTTTAAGGAAGCTGGTACCGACAGGAGCCTGAAATTACCGAGCCTGAAATAAGTCTTACATAAATGCCAATTTCTTATGGGGCCTTTCTGTGCGTCTCTCTTCTTTATGTGTGATATATAATGGGTTCTTTTTTGCAGAATGCAGCCCCTACTTAAACTCCACCTTAATTAAAGCTCGTTGCGGATTACAGACTCAAAAACATTTGGCAAAGGGCGGGGAGCTGAACTAGGAACAATTGCTCATTACGCTTCATTCTGGTACCAGGGCTCCAGGCTGAGGCTGGGCTGGGCCCCCAGGGGGCTGCTGAGGGAGGACAGGGGTATAGGTCCGGGCTGAACAGAAGCCTGCACACCCTCCTCTTGCCACCACTGCCCCCTTGCCTGGCTGGCTCAGCGTTTACCTGGCACGAATGTCACATGTGCGAGGGCACTAGCCACCGGCCAGTTAGACCCATTCTCTGCCCAGAGGAAGAGCCCAGTGCCAGGGAGGGGAGGGGAGGGGCTGCTTGGACACTGAGCGAGGGGAGAGTGTGCTGGGAAGGGAGGTGTCAGGAAGCCGGTGGCGTGGACGGAGTGTGTGCAGGGGAAGACATTGCTCCCTCATGTCTCTGCTGGGTGGGCCCTCAGCTGCTCCCCTGGTCCCCAGCCCCGTCCCAGTGTCTACCTACCAGGAGCACGAGGATGATGGGGCCCTGGAAGATGTAGTCCAGTAGGTCGCCCGGCTCCTTCCCAAACCAGCACCTGCAAAGGTGGGGGCTGTCAGTGACCTGAGCCGCAGCTGGGGGACCACCGCAGACTCAGGCCCAGGGGCCTCCAGCGTGACCCTGAGACCCATTCTCCAGGGCTGTACCTTCCCCAGAAGCAGGGTGGATGGTCCCAGCCCCACTGACCACCGTGCTCACCCGACTGCCTTTTGTGTTGCTTAGAGGTTCTCCCCAGCCAGTCTGAGGGTGGCCTGAGTCGTCTCCTCCTCCTTCCCTTCTTCCTCCTCCTCCTCCTCACTCCCTCACCCCTTCTAGATTGCTGGGCCCAGGGCTCACGACGGAGAGCTGGGCTGCCCCCCGACTGGTCTTGGGTCCAGCCGCCTGTGCCCCTTGTTCATGCATTGCTGAGAGCCCGCTGCTCCGGGTGCCAGGCACTCCGCTCACAAAACAGCAGGAGCCTTCTCCTGCCCGGAGCCTGCCTTCCTCCCAGCCGACCCCATTCACCCTGCGGAGGGAGCCTGCTGCCGCCAGGGGTGCGGTTGCTCTCTAGGGAGAATGGAGGATGAAGCTTCGGAGTCTGGGCCTGGGGGACCTCCTTGGGGACCTCCTCCTGGACCTGGAGAAGGGCCCATGCCTATGTCCCCACCCCCTCAGAGGGCATCCGGTGCACCTGGCTCAGACAGGCGTCTCCCCAGCTGCCCCCCAGCACCGGGGTTTCTGGTCTCTGCTCGAATACCCCCTGTGACGGGAGGGTCACTCTTCCGCACAATGATGAGAGCTGCCCTTTGTTCTGGGGTAGCTTTTATCATATGAGTGCTTCCAAATGCCGAGTTCCTGGACTGCGCCCCATTCCTGCCCCCACCCTCAAGTCCCCTCTGCTCTCTCCAGCCTCAGAGATGCCCTGGAGACTTGTGGACAGACACTGACGGCCCCCTGTCCTCTCTCCTCTCAGCTGGTGGTGCCGGCTTCCCAGCTGCTCCCTGTGGGACCCGTGACCAGGTTGCCATCATCGGCGCCCGTGGCTTCGTACGGCAGAGGCTCTGACGCAGGTAAGTCCCAGGACACGCCGCAGCCCCGGGGTCTGTGAGAGGCTCCCTGGCCTCCTCCATGTCCCCCAGTTCTGAGGAGGAGGCCTCCCCAAAGGCCAAAGGGCGCTTAAAGGAGCCAGCAATCCTAACTCAGTTTAACCAAGTTGACTCAACGCTGACCTATGAGCGCCTCTGGGTGCCCGGGCTGCATTTTTTCCATCTAAGGATGCGGAAAAGCCGCTCTGTCCTGTGTGGCTGCCACACCTCCCTACGGCTTGGCGGAGCCCACAGCTGCCCCGTCCGGACACCCCTGACCCTGACCCATGGCTGGCCTGTCTGACTCACTGTTTATTCTCATAGTAGAGGTTGGCCAGGGCCCAGGCGATGATGATGGGGCAAGGGATGCCTGGAAAAGAGACAGACATGGCTGTAGTGGTCAGACAGGTGGACAGGGTCAGTTCTCTTATAGAACACAGGACAGGGGGACCAGAAGGGGCCTGAGATCATGTTTCCAATCCTCTACTGCAGACCCCCCATGACCAAGGGCCTGTCCCTAGACCCAGTCCCGGCCCCTCCCCCACCCTCAGCCGTCCTCTCCGGGGAGGCCAGAGAGAGGAGGGGACTGGGTTTTCTGAGAGAGAAGTGCCGCTGGCGGCTTCTCGTCCAGAGTCAGAGACCAAGGCCTTGGATCTGCCACTCCAGGCGGGAGACAGGTCCCTGTGTGGGAGGCGCTTTGGAGGGACTATTTGCTTCCTCCTGGCCTGCCTGGAGGGGGCTGGCTGCGCTGGGGACCGTCCTGGGGATGGTGGGCAGGGCTGTGGTTCTGTCCTTGGACCCGATGAAGAGAGGTGACCTTGAGGGTAGCACCCCCTCCCCGCTTGGCCCTGCCACCCCCCTGGGGACCCTCACACCATCCGATGAAGAGGAAGAGCCACTTGCGCAGGTGCTCGGTGGAGTAGGTCATGACGATGGCCGTGTGCAGGTAGCAGCCCTCTACGAACATCCAGAAGAAGTTTGTCACCAAGAAGTAGTTGAAGACGGTGGTGATGCAGCGGCACCAGACCTGTACGGGCAGGCGGCGGTCAGGGCTGCGGGCCGGCCCGTGTGTGTGGCCAGCGCTGGTGGAGGGCCGGTCATTTTAGTGGTTCGTGGGCATGGCATTGAACACCCTCCAATCCCACGCTGGGTGGATTAGCCTTCGTCATTTCTCTCTCACTGTTTCAGACTGAGTGAACGCACCGTCTCCCGGCGCGGGTGTGTCTGACTTCCGCCAAGGTTCCTAATTCCCCCTTTTAACCAAGAAAGAGGGGCTGGCTCCAAGGTTCCTGCAGGCCGAGGCTAGAAGGGTGTCACTGTTGTGTTGCCATGGTGCTATTTTCTGGGGGGTCACTTTTAACCCATAAGTCACACTGGTTTCCATTGAGGGATGGAAGGTGAACTTTCATGTAGGAAAGTGATTTCACGTAAAGTGATTTGATTGAAAGAAAATCATTACATAAATAACAGTACAGGGTCGATGAAGGTGGGCGGAGTCATGGAGGGGCGTCTCCCGTCTCTGGTTTTGGGAGAATGAGGTTTGGTTGCTGCTCTTTGTCCCCCCAGCAGAGGAGAATCTGTCCCTTTCCCTCTGAGCTGGGCTCCCCCCACCCCTGGGCCCAGCCCCAACCAGTTGCCCAATGACCTCATTGCTCTCGTGCACTTCGGGGTCGATGAGCTGCAGCAGGAACCACGTGGCGTTTCGCAGGATAAAGGTGCCGATCAGGTTCCAGTGAATCACATTCCGAAGACAGCGAATGCTCCTGCAGGAGGCCCAGGTCAGGGGTCAGCCAGGGTCAGGGGTCAGCTAGGACTGAGCCTCAGGAGGCCAGATAGAGACAGCCTGGCATGAGGGCAGGGTTGTACCAGGAGCCAAATTCCTGCTGTGGAGGCCATGGTCGGGCCTCTCATTGCCAGCCTCCCCATGGCATCCATGTGCCTGCCAGGCACGCCTCCCCCACATGCCCTCCGTCTGCTGGCTCCAGGGCTCTGGGGCAGAGGTGATTGTCTGGGACAGGCGAAGGGGGTGTTGCGGGAGGAGGACAGGGAGAAATCAGGGGAGGGGTGACTCACCGCAGGACGAGGAAAAGCAGGAAAGCGGCCATAAGGGCTGCCATAGAAACGCAGTGGCCCAGGTAGTTGACCATGTGGGCGATGTAGTAGTGCAGTTCATACTTCCACTGCTGGACAGACAGACAGACAGACGGGCAGACGGAGCACTCCAGTGATGGCCACCCTGTATGTCCTGACCCGGAGGGCAGAAGGGCTCCTCCATGCAGCTCCCTGCATTTGGTTTGCCACTGGGTGGCTCTTGGTAGAAATGGCTGCGGTCAGGCCTCCCGACATGCAATTTTGGAGCAGATTTGGACGTAGTGTATGCTGAGACGTGCCAGAGGTGCAGGCAGATTTTCTTTTCTTTTTAATTCTGGATTGTGTTTAGTCTCAGCTCAGACCCCAGCCGGCTGAGCAACTGAGGGTGAGTTGATTCAAATCTCTGGGCCTCAGTTTGAACCCTGTACAATGGGTCTAACCAGCCACCCTGCCTCAGAAGCAGTGACTGATGGGAGGTCTGAGGGCTGCCCTGGGATCGGGCTGCCCTTGGGTGAAGCCATGGGAGGGGCAGGTGTGTTGTCTGCAGTGTGCTCAAGAACAATATCAGAATCAAATAGAAAGCCATTGTGCTTTCTATTATCCCCGGGCTGGCAATTCTAGGCAGAGGCGGGGATGAAGGACTCCTTCCTGTCCCAGGAGGCTTCTCCCAGCCCCACTTGGTTTGCCACCCTCAGAGGGGCCGTGAGTGGAGGTGAGCACAGAGGCCGGAGCAAACCTCTCTCCTTTAGGACCGTCCTGCTTGCCACTCCTGTGACCCTCACCGCAGTGTCCCTTGGCTCACATGTTGAAGAATCACTTTCCCAGGCTAGACAAATGGTCTCCCAGCCCCCTGAGGACTGTGTTGGGTGAATGAGGAGGGGCCTGGAGGCGGACGCATCCTTTTGGGTCAGAACTGAAGAGTAGCTTTAAAGGGGAGGTGGCTGGCCTTGCAGGCAGCAGGGAACTCTGTTTCAGAGCAAGAGGGGCTAGTGGGCTCTGAGCGGGACCCAGCTTCCTACAGGACTGCCCTTCTGGGGGCTGCACTCATTTCCACGTGGAGTCAGAGTTAGAGTGCCACCTGGGGAAACTGAGGCCCAGAGGAGGAAGGACATCACACAGCCTGTGAGGTGTTGGGGCACTGGCTACAGAGTCATTCCCTTCTTGTGTCATGTGCCACCCTTCTCTACCTCATCACAGTGTCACTGAACACGGCGGGGGGGGGGGGGGACGTGGGGCAGGGATAAGAGGTGAAAAATGGAGTGGTTGGGAGACAGGCCTGGTTCTGCCACCCTGGGGATCCTGTGAGTCTATCAGGGTCGGGGCAGGGGGGCCACTCACCTTGTCCTCCAAAATGGGCACACACTGCGAGTAGTTGAGCCGTGAGGCCCAGGTCCCATTCTCCAGGCACTCTCGGTAGATATTTCCTACAAAAGATGCCAACCACCAAGAGGCAAGTCACTCCCCTCCTCAGGAACTCTCCCTGGCTCCCTGGTTCCCCAGGATAAGGCCCATACTTCTCAGCTTCCCTAGGGCAGGAAACACAACACGCACCTACAAGTTCATCTGAAAGTCATGTGTGTGAAAACTGCACACGAGACTTAACCACACACGGCAGCTAAGAGGCATGAATAATAACCCCATTCCAGTATAGTCTTAGACTAGTTCAAACACTTCCTTTAATTTTGTTTGAAACTGAACCCAATTGTAAGCCCTGAGATGTGGGTAACGATTCACTGCTTTCAGCCAAATGATTTCCATTCTTATCTCAACCATATTTTGCTTAAATGGTTCATACTTTTCCTACCAGTATCAGTGCTTTCATTGTAATAACAGCTACCACTGACATAGCAGGTGTTTGCCACGTACCAGATCCTCTCTGCTTTCTAGCTGCTGTCCAGTCTCCACAGCAACCCCGTGAAAGAGGTACTAACATAAACCATTTCATGGAGAGGAAACTGAGGCACAAAGAGACTGGGCTGCCTGCCAGATACAAGAATGAGAAAAGGATTCAGACGCAGGAGGTCAGGCTTCAGGCTTGATGTTCATAACCTCTAGGCCAGGGGTCCTCAAACTTTTTAAACAGGAGGCCAGTTCACTGTCCCTCAGACCGTTGGAGGGCCGGACTATAGTTTATATTTATATTTTTTATATTTATATTTTTCTTTATATTCTATTCCAATGAATTCTGTTTATTTTATGTACAAATGCTGGTCGTGACCCCACTAAATTGACTTCATAATCCACTGTTGTGTTACAACCTGTTGTGTGACAAACAGACACCTCTTTTCGAGCGTTTGCCATGAATCACTGCACATCATCTCAGTGGACTCGATCCTACTCTTTGCTACTGAAGTGGAGCTCCCTGGGGACAGACCAGTAGGCACAGACAGACTGTACTGGAGTCATCGGATCCCCCTCAGAAGACTGTGTCGAATTGTCTCAGGTTGGCCGAAACCTTGGGAAGCAGAGTCTGAAATGTGGGATGTGGTAGCAGGAGGGGGTTTCCCTCAGAAGCCCAGGCATGCCTGGGAATGAGGTTCTGTCTCATTGGGTACCAGGGGACTGGCAGACAGATGTCCCCAGCTCTTCAGGGGAGCTGGCTAATGAGGATTCTGAGCCCTCAGGCACAGCCTGGGACAGGAGAGTGACAGACAGGGAAGAGTCTCCTCTGGGAGCCACAGGAAGATGGGCACGGAAAGTCCTAGGACAGGTGGCCAGGCCAGAATCTCGGGGATGGATGCAGTGAGGTGGATGTCTGTTACCACAGCAACACAGGTGCCCCTGCCAAAGATCGATGCCGATGGTGTGCAGTGTGGCCCGCCAGGGGCATTAGGGTCTGGATGATGTGGGCAGGGTGTTCTCCTCCAGGGCTCTGTGGCTGGGAAGCCTGGACACCCTCCCCAGCAACGTGCTAGGACTCTGCACCACAGTGGCCCTGGCCTGTTGAAAGGGCTCTCCTCCTTTCAGATGCTGACACTGTAATAGGAGTGCCTGGTTCAGGCAGTCACCTGAGTGGTCCAGGCGCCCGGCTGGGAAAAGATGGGACCTATATTCTAGCTGTAGTTTTGTCCTGGCTGGCTAAGTCCCTGCCTTCTTGGCCTCAGTTTCCCCTCTCAGAAGCAGTAAGGCAAATTTCTTCTCCAGGATGGTATTGGCATCACAGGTGGGTCAAGTATTTGTTGTGGGGGCCTTCTCAAGATGCTAAGAGCCAGTAGTAACCATGAGTCACTGTGATAATCCCAAACATCCCTACAGCACTTTCAAGGGTCCACTAGGTTGGCACTGCTACCTCTGTTATTCTAACCGGCAAAGCATAGGAGATAGGCCATAGAAGACAGGGACAATTTTCGTGGTAGTTATGGGGACAGAGTGCAAGAGGCTGTGGTGGAGGGTCGGTAATGTGGTCATTGTATAATGACAAGGAGGAAGGTGCTGGCAGATGCTACCAGGAAGGTGGGAAGGACCAGAAGCAACACTTATTGAAGGAATGAGGTCACTGGGCAGGATAGGAATGTTCAGCACCATGGACAGCGGGGCAAACCCATTCCTCGCTATCTATGCAGGTGCCCCTACCTTGGAGAGATCCTAGAACCCAGCACTCTCATCCTGTCTTCAGCCCATGGCCCTGGGCCCAGCCCAAGAAGGCTGCACGAATTCATGTCCCTCCTGAAGACCAAGCTTCAGCCCTAGATCCTCCAGATGCTCTCAGGCCTGCTCCAGCCCACCTGAGGGTTCAATTGCTACCTCTCCTAGTGCATGCTGGTCGGGATTTCCCAGCTAGCCTAAGGAGGCAAGGTCTAGGTCACCCTCTCCTCTGGTCCTTTCCGAAGGGCGACATAGAGCTGAGTACACAGGGGCTCAGGATGGACCGAGGTGATGCTGTTGCCTAGGTGACTGGGTAGCCCTGAATGAGGATGAGAGGCTTGGAGTGGGCCAAGGGGACAGTCTGCCACCCAGGCCTCACCAAGCTGGATGGCAAATGCAGAAGCTGCGGTCACACACGCGGGGAGCATTTGGGTCTCATACGCATGTCACAGGTAGGTTGAGCCCTGTTTCCAGAACTGCTGACACTGCAAGACCAACCCCACCTGCGGTAGGGGTGTCCGTCTACAATAGCAAACTTGTGGCCAGTATCCTCCAGATTCAGGGCAAGAAATCCTTGACTAGCCAGAACCGGTTTGGCTCAGTGGATAGAGCGTCGGCCTACGGACTCAAGGGTCCCGGGTTCGATTCCGGTCAAGGGCATGTACCTTGGTTGCGGGCACATCCCCAGTGGGGGGCGTGCAGGAGGCAGCTGATCGATGTTTCTCTCTCATCGATGTTTCTGGCTCTCTATCCCTCTCCCTTCCTCTCTGTGAAGAATCAATGAAATATATTAAAAAAAAAGAAAAGAAATCCTTGACTGTCCCCAGAAAAGCACGTTGGAAACAGAGCCAGCAGGTGTCTCCTTGGGAATTTAAGAGGGGGCGGCAACTTGTCCCTTACTGGTCTAAAGGGGCCCAAAGAGGGAGAGTGACATGTCCAGGATCCCCAGCAATGAACAGGCAGAACTAGATCTCTCTCCCCTGGGACACGCTTTCTCATGGGAGACCCTGGAGCTGGCATTTCTGGAAGCAAGAGGCTCTCTCTTGCTACAGCAGGTCCCAGAAGGCGCAGTCAGCTGTGCCCTCTGCCATGCCTATCTGGGACCCTCCTTGAGGCACCCCCCCACCCCCCGCACCAGGCCTGTCTTTGAGAATTGTGACATCCCCACTGAATCAAGGCCCAACCTCACCCTCTCCATGAAGCTTTCCAGGAATGCTGCAGGCCCACCAAGCCCCCCTTCCCAGTCCCTGACTGCTGATTTGTGCGAGTCTGGTCTTTAAGCTGCCTGGGCTGCCTGAGGGCTGAGCTCGGCCTTTCCAAACATCTCCTAAGAGGAGATTCCTGCACAGCAGGCTGACCCAATGCAAAGACCAACCCCTCTGGCTGGAGACCACTCAGCTGATGTGTTTCCATGTGAACACTATCCATGCTTCAGCATGTGTCTAGAATGGGGTTCTGGGAAGTGGGGACCCATCCTCTCCATGGGGTTGGGTTAGGTGGAGTGTTCCTTTATCCCCTGTTCTGGGAGACGCCTCCCAGTACAGATGGGGCCAGCCATTCCCAACAGGGCCTGAGGTCCAGGAGGCTGAGGCTGAGCTGGGCAATTCCTCAGGAGGAAAGTGGACCTTGTCCAGGAGGAGGCAGCAGCCCTTTGTAGCTGTGACAACCACAGGGACATGTGGGAGGAGGGGCCGAGCAGGGCACTCCAGGCTGATTGGGGAGAACAGGGGACAGCCCAGGCTGGGTTAGGAACCAGAGCACAGCTTCCCCAGCCCCCATCCACAGGCTATGGGTTGAGATGCTTTATCACCCCCCTTAGCCCTTAGTCTCCTGGCCCAGGCTGAATCAGGGACCCCGAGTTCCACGGCCACACCCCACCCAGCTCGCAGAATCCTAAAAACACAGTTCTATAATCTCAGGACTGAAGGAGCATAGGCGTCATTCCTGCTGCTTGCACACCTCCCGGGGCGGAGACCTCATTTCCAGCAGGGAGGTCTGTTTTAACCCTGGAGAGAAAGCGTGGCCTCAGACGATGCAGGGATCCTCCTGAGCGGCCCCACTGTCTCCACCATCCCCTTCCTGTTAGGGGCTCCTCTGCTGCTGGGCTCCTTGGGCCCAGGAGAGCCCTCCACTGGAGCAGGTGCCGGCAGGGGAGCGTGCTTAGCTCAGATGCAGACACTGCTGTCTTGCCCTCTAACCGTCTCTCTCTAAGAGCTCAGACGTGTGTGTGTGTGTGTGTGTGTGTGTGTGTGTGTGTGTACACGCGTGCTTGAGAGGGGTGGGCGAGCGGTGCCACAGTTCAGACAGACAGACACTCAGAGAGGGGTTGCTATGATGTTTCCAGCAAGGGGATTCAGACACCCTCTCCCTCCCAGGAGGCCCCCTGCCAGTGGGGTGGGGCTGGAGATGTGAGTGGCCTTCAGGGGGACCACTGATTGCTGCCCTGGCTCCTGCCTGGCTCCATCAGACCATGCAGGGGGCACAGACTCAGGCAGCCCCCCACTCCCAGGGCCGGTACTGAACGATCCCACCTGGGTGCTGGGCGGCTCCACAGCCTCCAGCCAGAAGGAAGGTGGGCACAGGCTGTCCCCCCAGGGGGCGGGGGTGGTCCTGACGCGCTGGAGGAAAGCAGCCCACGGCCTCTGACTCAGCCCCGAGGGTCAGTCTGGAGAGACCGGGTAGGAAGAGGCAGCACCCCACTCTGGCCCAGAAGCTTCGGTGCCCGCTGCTTTCCCAACACAGGCGCTGGGCTTGCCCTCCCCTCTCTGGGAGTGAAGAGTGACACCCACTCACCCGGGGGTTGGGGACTCAGCCCAGCGCCCCCGCCTCCCCCCCCACCCCCCCGCGGGGGGCGATTGGCTAAACAAAGAGAAGCTATAATGGGGAGCCTCACACACCCAGTGTAGATAACCTGGAAGAGGGGTTCACCCTCAAAAGGGAGGAAGTGTGTTCTCCTCTTTCTGGGTTCTCGCCGCTCGGCGCGCGGGAGCCGTGGGCAGATCACTGCCTCGCTGAGGTCTGATCACAGTGGGGCACAAGGAGCGTCCCCAGCATCATAAGGGTCCTCATCGCCAGCGGGCTGACGGTGCCCTGGCCCTCGGCACGTCTCCAACGCTGGGTCAGGGGGGCCCCCTCCACTCCCTAAGCCGCCCTCCCGGCAGGCCGTGCAGAACGCGGCAGAGGGTCGGGCACTCACCCGTGGTGTTGTACTTGATGCCATTGAAGTGCTCGGGGCATGGCCTCTCCACCAGGGCTCCGGCGGCGCTGCGGGGCCAGCACGTCCCGATCAGGTCCAAGGTCGCGTTGCAGTAGGAGTGGGGACCTGGCGACGGAGAGAGAGAGAGCGGAGCGGGGCTCAGAGAGGTGGTCGGGGGTGTGGGCGCCGCGGGAGGCAGGGCTCCCGGCGTTCGGAGCGCACAGGGAAGGAGCCCGCGCCTCCCGGGTCGGCTCGCCTCCCGCCTACCCTCGGGGTCCAGGGCCGGCGCCCAGCCGTCAGGGAACAGCTCTCCGGCCAGCGCCAGGCTGCAGTTGGCTTCCAGCAGGCTGGGGAGCAGCGCCGCGTCCATCGCGCCCACCGCCAGCCGCGCGCAGGGACGGAGTGTGAGTGCGCGCTCGGCGTGGCTGCGGGGCCCCGGCCGAGTGAGCGGCCCAGAGAACCGGGTTTGGGTCCTGCCCGCCCAGCCCCGACCTGCGGGCGCTGCGCCCGATCTCCCGGAGCCGCCCAGTCGGGACTTCACCGAGAGGAGCGGGAAGCGCACTGAACTGCGGGCCCACCGGTTCGGTCGTGTCCAATGGCTGCGTCAGGGGGCGGGGCCGGGAGGCTTCTCCAGCCCCCGACCCACGGGCCAGGCGGGAGTCCGCGTTCTGTGGCCCCGCCTTGGTCCAGAGGAGGGCGGTGGGGATGGAGAGCGTGGGCCGGGGGTGGCGGAATGCCCCGTCCGTCCGTCCGTCCGTCCGTCCCTCCGGAGGATCACAGCCGCCGGGGTGCAGCCTGCCTAAACGAGCGCCACCTCCCTCAGGGAGTAGCAGGGAGGGGGTGGGAGTCCACGTGCAGATCTGCGTTCCAGAAAAGCTCCCCGTGGCCTCTGGGAAGGAAGTCGATTGGAGGGTCTTCAAGGGAAGGAGGGAGGCCACCGAAAAGTCTGGTGAGAACGAGGTGCCTGAATGGGTGAGGGACCAGCTGCGGGAGCTGGGATGGCCGGGGATTTCCCAGGAGAACCAGCCCTGGGAGGAGGGCCTGGAGAGAGAGGAGGCGGTGGCGAGGTCTGGGGAAAAATTGTCTGAAATTAAGTGGAGGACTTCAAACACCAGGGTCTGAGGATGCCCTGGGCTCCTGAGAGAATAGTCCCTTCCTCCTGGCGGGGGCATGGGCAGGGCCACCTGGGAGTGGTCTGTGTGTGTGTGTGTGTGTGTGTGTGTGTATGTGTGTGGAGAGCAGGCCCCACAGCAAGTGTGAAGCAGCTAAAACCCCTTCTGTGGCATTTGCTCTGGCCCCATCAGGACCACCTGCTCTGTAATCTGTGCCAGCTCCATTCTGAGCGCCCACGGTTGAGCCCTCTGCATCTCGATTGGCCAGTCAGGGCGAGAGCACAGACCCACAGACCCACAGACCCAAGGTCCCCTGGTTTCTGGAATGCAGGGCCATTTCTCTTGGATCTTATTATAGGCACAGTTGTCTGTTATTCTAGGTGTGACAGAGAAAACTGAAAAGGTAGCAGCTTTGGAACAAATTGATTGTACAACTCACTTCAGTATTTGCAAATAGGTAAATAGGGAAAAAAATTGTCAAAGTGAAAACTTCCTTCAATTAGATTAAATCCAACTACAAATAAATAAGGCATGGGCCTTTTTGCTCGCTAAGGAAGCAAAGGTCATGGGAGGCCCTGGGATGGAGGCCAGGGGGCGAGGTATTTGGGACAGTGTGTGCCCCCAGGCTGGTGTGACAGGTTGCAGATAAGTTCAGGGAAGTGTGACAGGTGCTGGGAAGACACCTGTGTGTCATGGGCAGCACTGGGTGAGGCAGGTGCCACTGGCGCACCTTGGTGACAGCTGCAGTGGTGGTGACCAGTTCCAGGCAGGCAAGCTCAGACACACATCTTGGTTTTTCCGGTCATAGCCTAATGCCAGGCCTCAAACAGGCGTGCAGAGCACAGTGGAAATACACACGGCGCCACATGCAGTCCCGTGTCTTCACAGTGTCACACACATTCTCTCATTCACCCCGCCACCCATCCAATGTCAGCTGGAAAACAGGATGTAAGGGGCCAGTCTGTCTTTGCACCTCTTGGGGGCTGTGCGTGGCCAGACTGAAAGGACGGGGTGTGCATGGCTGGAACACAGTTGTGGGGTTCACTGGGAGTTACAGTGGGGCGGCTGCTGAGGGCACGGAGGCTCAGGAGAGTCCAGGAGCTGCCCGGCTCCTGCCCTGTGACACGGGACAGTGCCCCTAGGCCAGACACATCCTCCCCACTCCAGCCCACCCACCCCACCTGGGCACAGGTGAGGTTGCCTGGTGGTTTCATGTGGAACCGTGGGACCAGGAAAGGCCCTCTGCAAACGTCTCATTTATAGCTGGACAAGGGGAAGCCCAGAGGAGGAAAAGGAATTCCCCCTTCAGTCCCTCCCACACCATCTTCATCTCTGCAGAAGCCAGACTGGGCTCCTGGGCACGTCACTCCTCACAAGAGTGGCTCCCGATGGCCCTCAGGAGGAGCCGGCTCTCCGGCCCTGCAAAGGACATTCTTCCTGGTCCTTTATCTGCATCCTCTCCCTCCTGCTCAACTTGAGATGCCCTGTGGGACAGCTTGTCATTCGCTGGAGCCACTCTATACCTCTGCACCTTTGCATGTGCTGTTCCCTCTGCTAGGAACGCCTTCACAGCTCTTTACTCCAGTTTGCCTAGCTCCGTGGTCGGCAAACCGAGGCTCGCGAGCCACATGCGGCTCTTTGGCCCCTTGAGTGTGGCTCTTCCACAAAATACCACATGTGGGCGCGCACATACAGTGCGATTGAAACTTTGTGGCCCATGCGCAGAAGTTGGTATTTTGTGGAAGAGCCACACTCAAGGGCAAAGAGCCCATGTGCTCCCACCTGAATGCTGCAGGCCTGTAGTTTTCCCGACAATTGGGATGTCCACTTATTCCTTTCCAACCAATCAGTTTAGCTCTTTTGTCTTTGTCTGGGGCTGGGGGGCCTTTCCTCCGCGCCCGCATCTCCCTAGGGAGCTGTTCTCTGCCACAGCGAGGTGTGGTTTTTCTACTGTTTCCTCGCCGAGCCTGTGACTCCCCGAGGGCAGGGCTGGTCACGCTCACTAACTAGCCTAGCGCCCACCCGAATGCTGCAGGCCTGTGCTCAGAGCCATCGCTGACAGAAGGGCTGCCTCGGCAGCGGCCTGGTCTCCTGGCCAAGTCTCTCTTCCCATTCGACTAGCCCTGGTGTGTGTGTGTGTGTGTGTGTGTGTGTGATTGAGGAGTTATTTCAAGGGATCCCTGAATCCATTGGACACATGTATTATCTCTGGACAGAATAAATAATATGCCTTACAACAATGGTTCTCAACCTTCCTAATGCCGTGACCCTTTAATACAGTTCCTCATGTTGTGGTGACCCCCAATTTCATTGTTACAAATTGAACATAATTAAAACATAGTGATTAATCACAAAAACAATATGTAATTATATATGTGTTTTCTGACAGTCTTAGGTGACCCCTGTGAAAGGGTCGTTCGACCCCCAAAGGGGTCACGACCCACAGGTTGAGAACCGCTGCCTTACAACATATACCTCCGTGATGAATAAAACAAGTATTCCATGCAAAGCCTGCAGTCTCTCATGATTATGTGTGTTCCCTTTACTTGGACCTCAGTTAGGGGCTTATGGTGTAATTGACCATAGCCTTTGGCTCATGACCCCTTGTCACCAGTAGCCCACACATGGCCTAACTTTATTTTATTTGTCTTTCCTTTCATGGAAGTTTGTATGTAGCAATAAGTATAATGACTCGGTCACTCAATCTGAAACTAGATCATTGCCAATCACTAGCCTATTTATCTATCTGTGCACTCTCAATATTGCCTTGATCATATTGCACTTAGCTTTTTCAGGTTGATCATGTGTGTGTGTGTCTGAACAATAGATTGTTTGGTTTCGCCTGTTTTTGAACTTTATGCATTTCCTCAATCAGTGAACCCTAAAAAGGAGAGTACTGCCCTGGATGAATTGTTCCTGAAGTCCAAGGGCATCCTAACAGCACGGATGGTCCTCTCAGGGGTACAGCCAAAGAAGGATAATGCGTCCCCACTTGTCTGCTAGGCAGCATGGCGTGCCGGAAGAATGTGTAATGGCAGGGGAAATGTTCACTCTGCGCTAGAAGAGGCGAACGCAGGTTACAAAGCTGTGGACGCAGGGTCATCCCAGCGTTATCAAAACAAAAACAAAACTGAGAAAACATGAGGTTCTAGGGATTGATAAACTGCTGGGGCTCGTAAATATTATGAATATTCCTGGGTTGAGGGACAAGGAGCACTTATTGTCTTCTTCCTTGATTTTTAAAAATATTGTTTTCCGAATTTGTGGTGTGTGTGTGTGTAATATGTGTGATATCAGTTTAAAAACAGATAAATGATAATATCGGTTTAAAAACAGATAAATGATACTACAAATGAGGCAGGAGAGGCCTTGTTTTTGGAAAAATTGGGACCCTCCTCACTAGGAGGAAGGTGGGGGTCTGTGTTGGAGGGGAGTGGGGAGCAGGGAGAAGACAGTGGGCCCACGAATGAACCAGCATCACCTTCTGGCCCACATCGGACCCAGAGTTTGATAAAATAAGATGTATATTTCAACCTCCGCGTAGGGCGGCGGGGGGGGGGGAGGCTCTATTTCCTGCCCGATGTGGCCCCTGCTGGGCGTGTCCACAGTCTCTCATTCAACCTGCTCAGTGAGCCTCTGAGGTTAATACAGACCCGTTTATAACAGACGAGGAAACGGAGGCTTGGAAGGTCTTTTGGGTTGAATTGTGTCCCTCAAAATCCATATATTGAAGTCCTAACCCCCAATGCCTCAGAAGGCGGCCTTATTTGGAGACAGGTCCCTAGGACTAGGATGGTCCCTAATCCAGAACGACGCTGTCCTTTTAGGGAGAGGCTATTAGGACACAGACCCCCAGAGGGAAGATCAAGGGAAGGCACAGGGAGAAGACGGCCAGCCATCCACAGGCCAACGAGAGAGGCCCAGAAGGAACCTACCCTGCCAGCGTCTGATCTGGGACTTCTGGCCTCCAGAATCGTGAGGAAATGAATCTCTGTCGTTTAAGCCCCTCGGCCTGTGGTGTCTTACTGCAGCCCTAGCAAGTGAGTGCAGGCGGGCCGGGGGTGTGGGGGGGTGGGGGGGGGAGGAGTTGGCGCCAGACTTGGGTCTGTGGGACCCTAATGCCTGAGCTCTTCACCCTACACTGTGAGGAGGGCAGGAGACAGGCTGTCATCCTCCATGCCCGACTCAGGCTGCATTCGGCGCTGTGTCTCCCTGTTGACCAGCACCTTTATCTCCAGGGGCCGAGGGCACCCCCAGCCTCCCTCATCCCTGACTGCTTCAGTGGATGCAGATCTGAGAAGGCCAGAACCTGGGGGGGCCCCCTGGGCCTCTCCCGAGCCTGTGGCTGACCCTGACTCCAACCGGCCACCAGAAAGCTCCGAGGTGTCAGAGCTCAGGCACCCGCTGCCGCTTTGAAGGTCCCTACAAGGAGG